TCACTTTCCATTGTTTCAGGCTGCTATTGAAACCCTCTAAGATCCCATCTTGCTTTGGTCTTGAGGAGTTGCCTTCTTTATCTCGTTTGACGCTAAGCGCCATGAGTTTCGTGGTGCCCAGAAGGGGCTTGCGCTCGAGCAACTTGGCCCAGGCGAATTGTTTGTGATACTCACTGATCTCGGACGCTGTTGCTTTCTCCCTTTCTTCCAAGGAGAGTAGAAATAGCCTATATACAGGGGTTCTTGTCCGAGGGGTAAAGTACCAAGATTGCTCCATCTTCATCTGTCATATTCTCGCCCTTGAGGGAGTCGAAACGGGGCTGTCAGGATGCAGTTGTTGGCTGGGCGGTTGACCTGGTGGCCGTAAGCTGGCCCAGTGGAGTTGGCGGATGCGCACGAGGCATAGGATGTCTGGCGGCCGTGGCTCCCGCAAACAGCCCAAGCCACAATTTAGTGGTGTAGGCTGCCGCAGCAACACACAAGCCTCGCTTGAAAGTTTATCCATTTGCGCCGCAGGATGCGCTTTTTGTGTCATCTGTTGCGTTTGGGCCCTGCCGAAACAAATCGATTTTTGCACCTGGAGAAAAACTGTCCCCTGGTTCTGTTGAGGTACAAGCGAACCGTGGGTCGCCACTTCTCCGCTGCGCGGTAGATCTTGAACTGGTCACGTTCAACTTCGCACCGGTGGCTTCCATCTCTTTCCTGACTGCGTCGCGCTGCTTGTCGGAGACGTTTGCAGAGTCTCCAATAGAAACACGTTTCGGTCAAGGGGTAGAGGATATGTGCAAGGTCCTGGCAGACCTCGTATGGATTAACTTCTGCCAATCTCCCGGTTCTGCCTTACCTTCAAGCTTCTGATGTTGGCGAATGCCCTTGCCGGGTTAGTTTTGCACTGTGAGCTTTGAACGTGCAGTCTTGGCGCTTGACACACTTCGCTCTCCACTCGTATCCTGTCGTAGAGGTCGTATATATGCCTCCTTCGGAAGGTGTAAAGCTCTGGCGCGAAATCAAAATTGATCTATTGTCATACGATGATGCTGGAGGTGAAGTTTCTTCAGTTCTTCCGGTTGCGCTTAGAATCCGATGGTGTCCGTTGCGCATCGTTTCTACAAAAACGACACCGTCTGATGCCTCTTGTTGCAATTGACGCGCTTTGGTGGGGTTAGCCCATATGGCGGGAATTCCGCCGCGATCTGGCGAGAGCAGCTGCGACTGCTTAGTAGTTTGCAGTCCTGGCTGCGTTTCTGTGTGCGACGCACGTTGTTGGACTGTCTGAGTGAGGGTCATCTTTGGTCGGCTCTGCTGCGGCGCCGGGCGATGGCTCATGGGCCGACCGGCCCTTCTTGTTCATGGCCGCGCCGACTTCCACACCTTTGAGCGGCTCATCGGCGAAAGTGAAAATGGTTGTTCCTTTCCCGAAATGGATCATTGGCTTCTGCCTGTGAAGAAAGTTTTCAGTTATCTTCAAGAGCATTTGGATCTCCGCCTTGTTCTGCAACAATCATATTTTCTGCTGATTCGAACACGACTAGTTCTTCACTCCAGTAGGTGTGGATCATTTTGCGCGCGGGCGCGGAAAAGCAGCTGGCTCCGCCCGTTGAAGGATGCGCGCGCAGCCTCAGCAGCCGGAAGTTATGCTGCGGCGAGCGTGATGTTGTCACTGACAACATACGCATAGTCACTGAGACTCTTACCAGCAGTTTCCCTGCATGGTTCCTGTGTTTTGCTACCGCTGCAAGATCGACAAGAGCATGTCCTGTCTTGGACACTGGAATCGGTTGACGACACATTCCAAATGCTTCGCAAGTAGTTTGTTCTCATATGCAGATCCCGCATTTGTTCAGTACTTAGGAATATAGACGCTGCGCCCTGCTCCAAGAGAGCACGTTTGTCCTGGCCGGGGCTTCGTGTGACCAATGTGGTGTACAGTCCAACTTCTTCATGGAGTCGGTCGCCGGCCGATCGCCTGTGTGAGTCGCTGGATTGTGCGCCAGCTTCCCTTTCGCCTGAGGCGCGTCCGTAGTCGTTCTGCTGCTGATAACAGGCGCCAGGTGTCTTTTAGCTAGCAAACCTTGGCTGGTTGTGATTGGGAAATTTTCGTCTCCTTAGGTTACCACCATACTGTGTGGGTTTGGCCGGCAGCTTCTTTCATTCCAACTCCATGACCAACTCCCGGGCTTCTATGTTGGCAAAGGTCTTGGGCTTCCTTTGCTTTTGTCCTGTCCGCTTTCTCCCTTGTCTGATGAATACTTTTGTTTGAAGGTCTCAAACGGCTGTTGGTGCTTACGCTTTCCCTTTCTTACCAAAGCTTTTCGACCCCCTGGTCGTAGGGGTTTGGGTTGACGTATATTGACCTTCCCACTTGCCGTTTCTCATGCGCGAAACGCCATTTTCTTACCTTGTTTCATCTCCTTTTCTAGTGTTGTGACACCTTTCTCACTGCAATGCGGCGTAATCTTCGATCGAGAACCCTAATGGTTCTTCATCCTCGTCCCCGGTGAAGCCTTCATTTTCTTCTTCATCTTGTACCAATAGCCTTCATCGCTAGGAAGTCAAGGTTCATGCTAAGCAGCCAATAACAACAAACAAAACCTGGGACGTGTTTCCCTAATGTTGTTCTTTTCTCTAGTTTTGTTGGCTTCCGAGTTTTGAGCCTGCCAATGGAGGAAGATTGCGACTTGCTATAAATTCAGGCGCGCGTGCAAGACTACGAGTTGCAAATAGAACCTAGGAGTCAAGGCCACCCTTGTACTATCTGTCTTCAACCGCTTTCCTCCAAATGCACCAAAAATTGAAAGAGCCGCTAGTGTTCCAACGCACTGCTGCCATACCGCGGCGGCCTCCAATATAAACCTGCGGTGTGTGAAGCGCGTTACTTTGACAGCGGAGGCGTAATTCTATTTTTTTGTGGTGAATTAGCTGGCACTTTGCCAGACATAATAGGAAATGATTCAGCTAAGTGCGCGGTCGAATTCAACTGCACACGTGCCAGACCTAGGCTAGGAACCATGCTACACACATTCTAGGAAGCAGACAACTGTAAGTATGTTTTTGCTTTGCATATTTGCGTGGCGTAAGCCGAATATACGTTGAACGCAGTACAAACCAGATACTTCGGCCTTTCTTCAAGCCTGATACTTCAGCCTATCTTCGACATATGTCAATATGCGTCATACTTGTTATTTCCTGGAGCAAGGCGACGCACATCAACTATGTTCTAAACTTACATGGCAAACTGGAGGTTTTTATGTTGCAAATGATGAGATAGGTGTGGTTGCAAACCTGTCAGGATACACTAAGAATCAAGCATCTATTTGTTAGATCTATTTGCTAGACGAACTGTTAAGCGACCCTCGCAAGAAAAGTTTGAAACATACTGTGCATCCATGGTAAGCCCCATGGTAAGTAAGCAGCTGGGGCCAGGACTCATGACGCATGGGCTTTCCGGCAGTGCGTGGGGGGGGGGGGGGAGGGGTGAGCATGTATACACACATGTATACTCGCACACATATGCATTTATTCTCAAGAAAGCCGTGGTTGCTAGTTTGGGTATAGGAATAAGCATAGATATGAATGTAGTCATCGATATGTACTTCCCCTTACTATAAAGGTATTTGCACATGAACACAGACCTCTGTTGATCTGGCACATATATATATATAAAGCACAAATCTCCAGTTTATCCATATGTACATTATGCATGGAATGAACATGTGTTTGTTTGTGTATGTATATGTGTATAGGTAGGCACACTCGTGCGACGAGTTGGTGTTTCTACAACGCACATGAAACATTATTGCAAGCAGGTATGGTTGTGTCGCTAATAGGGATGGAGTTTCCCCAACTGGCGTCTTGCTGGTTTGCGTCGGCGAATGCAGAGTAGGGATGATCAGAGATTGTCAGAACTGTAGACAATGGCATATACTGTTTGAACAGCACGGCGGTTGCGCAAAGCCCCATCGAAACCAGGGACGGTTGCAGCCTCAATTGGCGCGGCTGCCGTTTTGCGTCTTTACATGGTTGCGGGTAAACCATTTTCGTACCAGATCTTGGCTATGACACAGGAATCCTTAATCTAGGTGGCTTCCCTTTGGTTTCTGTTAAAACCGAAAATTCCAAAAAGGGTTCCACCTCCAACGCGCGCCAACTGCCATGTTTGCAACGTGACGGGAAATGGGAGGGCTGCCTGGCGCAAGGCATGAGCCAGGCCTTGATGCCAGACATGCCGGCGCCCAAGTTGATGCAACACAGATTTGGGCATGGGCCTTCCTCAGAATAAGGAACCAATCCAGGTGGCCAGTGGCTAGTTTTCTTTTGGCTTCCCTTCAAACCAGCTGCAAAGGGACCACAAAAACAATAAACGCCCATGCTTGCGTCAGTTGAAACCTGTTTGGTTCGCATGGCGTTCGGTAAATATCCAGCGAGTGGAACGTTTGAGAGGCAGATGCGGGACTTATTGAAGCTTCTACAAACATCACTGGCTCCTCTCCCGTGCTCATTGCGGATACCACGTGTTCCCCGCAGTTTGACGCAATTGCTCCGCCACTGTGACCGCTACCGTTTTTCAGACCTGTTTGAATATCCCACACTTCCCTTGACGTGCTCGCAGTACAGGATGATTGAAAGCAGAAGGCAGGTGAAAAAGCGGACCAACGCAACAGCAGGACGAGGCCAGCTTTTTGGCCTGCGGATCTTGTGTCTTTGGCTTTGCTTTGCACGTTGGCATGCGGGCATGCTGCAGGTGCCCTGGTCGTGAACTCACAAGAGTTGGCGCATGCAGATTTTGACACGCAGGGGCTCCGGGCCCTGAGTTTAAAACAACGGCGCGTTAAGACTTGAGATCGTACAACCCCCTTGGATTCTGCTACTATGTGGCCGATCTGGTGAACTTTGCGCACCGCTAAAAGGTTGTGATGTTCAAGGTTGAGGACATGGAAGCCTAAAATGGTTCGGAGTCTCTTTGTTCTTCGGTCCTTTCCCAATTTAAGGAAACACCCAGAATGTGCACAAGGCTCATTGGCTTTCAACATGTAACCAACTGCAGAGAGGGGTACTATTGGGTCCAACTCATACCAAGGAGATCGCAAGGGACTGCTCTCCTGCAATCTGCGTACTCAACCCAGCCGCTCATGGCAGCTTGGCGACGCACGGGATGGGCATGGCCGTTCATGGTCCTTGTCCGATGGTTTTGTCAGCGTATCGATGAGGCTAAGGAGGCGCTCAGTTGCTTGCAGCGCTTGTTGGGGATTCCGGCCCGGTTTCTGGGCTGTTCAAAGGCAATCTTCAGTGTTCAGCTCTCCTGTTGCGTCACGAAAAAAGGTCTTTGTAGTGAAATGGTTTCCCAATATGGATTGGTTGGGATTGGCCAACCCCCCTTTTTCAAACTACATCATTACCAGGGCTCCCTATGTTCTCCCCCCGTCCGAAGCGTCGTCTTTTTGCGAAGGCCCGCTGCTCTAGGATTTGTTTCTGGAAATCCCCCCTCAAGACATTTAAGTCCTTTGTGGCTTCCCTTTATCAAAGGGTGACCTCAACAGAAGACACACAGGTTCGTCAAGTCCCCAAGCCCCTGGCCCACTGGGACGACGGCAGAGGGGTGGTTCGTGTTCCCGCTCATTTAGCCCGCGAGGGTTGGGGGTGAACGCAATCTGATACGACCGGCAAAGGTCTTGGCTACAGCGTTTGGCCGCAAAGTGCCGTTCCAACCGCCCAGTTTGCTAGGCAGCGCAGTTTGACCCAATGGCCGGCGTTCAGATGCCGCCGCAGCAGCCGCAGATGTTTTGACCTCAGAGCGCCATCCGAAAGGTCCTTGTGTGCGACAGAACCAAGGCCACTTGGTGTGATGCCCTCCGCGAAAGCTCTGCGATGGACATGGCTTTCTTCTGGTGACAACAGTGTTGCGCGGGCAAGAAAGATGAATTGAGGAACCGCGTGGAACTTCGCAAAACAGAAGCTTGTGAAGGACAGGCTCTTTGTGAGGTTGCGTAAACAAACCGTTGCCTTCAGTTTTGAACTTGGCGGGGCCTTGTGTCCAAAACTGCTCCGTTTCGCAGCAAACCGATACGGAGTCACACAAAACGATAACAATGATGGGAATTAAAAACAAGCTGCAGGTTTCGATCTGGAGCTGCCAGACTACACCTGCAAAGTTGCGATTTTCGAGCTGGCTTTGGCCCATTTCATGAGCTGGGGCCCCAGGCCAAAGAGTATGTTGTGTGCTACATGGGCGCTGGCGAGTTTGGATTTTCGAGCTGGAGCTGCCAAGGTGTGTTTGCGAGCTTGGTCTGACAGTTGCGATTTTCAAGCGTGCGCTGAAAAACTGTGATTTGCGAGCTGGAGCTGCAGACGTGCACTCTGCTACAGCTCTCCGCCGGTGCTTGTTTTGCATCGGGCCCATCCAGCCGCTGCCGCTGTGTCTGGTCGGATGGGGGCCTCTGCAGCGCGCGAGCGCGCTTCTTGTTTCTCTTTGAGCCGGAGCGCGCATGACGTGAGCCAGCATGGGCGCAGCGCTTGCGCGTGCGCAGCGGCGTGTCTGCGTACGGGTGCAATGCTTGCTGGCGCGCGTGAGCATGTGCGGATTTACGTGCGCTAAGGGTTTTCTGGGCTTGAACGTGTTGAGGCGCTATCAAAATTTATGCCTGCGCGGGCGCAGTGACTGTGGGTGCACGTGGGCAAGTTTGAAGCTGTTATTCGCGCATGCGCGCGGGCTTGTATCAGCTATGCCAGCGTGCAGCGATTATGGTCGGGCGCGAGCGTGTTGGACGCGCGCAAGGGTGGCTATCCTCGTTTGCCAAGCGCGTGCTTGAAAAGAAGCTCCATTTTGGAGCTTCCGCATGTACCTTCCAAAATAAAGCTTCCATCTCGGGGTCTCAGCGCTGGACGGAATAGGGGGTAGCGACGCAGGCGAGACGCAGCGGGCCGGGGCGGAGCGACGCAGACCGGAAGGCGAGAAACAGCGGCTGCCTGGACGGACTGGCGCGGAGAGGTGCAGGCAAGACGCAGGATCGAGGTGGAGCTGGACAGGTTGGGGCGGAGCGACGCAGAGAGCTGCAGAAAAAGCAGCGCCAGCGCCCAAACCCGCCCGCCGTCACCAGCGCCTCAAGCCTTGAAGCTGTTTGACCGCAACTTGCAAGGCCATACTGCTCGCGACCGTATTTGCAACTTTTCACGGCTCAAACGTCGCCGCCAGATTCTCACAGCTTTCTCACGCATGTTCATGGCCTTTCGCGCGCCGCCAAACTCGATAATTGCGTTCAATAGATGTCAAGGAACAGCGCCCGAACAGCGCGCCCAGGCATCCAACGGTGCCCGTTGCGCGCCTCTTGTTGCAAATGATGCTCTTTGGCGAGAGTCCAGCCGCGATTAGGCGAGAATTTGGCCGCGATTTGGCGAGAACAGCCCGCGTGTAGGCTGTGTTTGGCATCGCCAGACGCAATTTGCGCAAAAAAGGTGTACACATGGAGCGTCTAAGCAAAAGCGCTGCCACTCATGGAAAAGTGAGAACAATCACGCTCACACGCGGGCAGGACACTCATGTGTATCCGCAATGACTACAAGCTGCAAATGACCAAAAGCACGCGCTGCGCCTCCCGCCGGGAGGAGCCGAAGAGGCAGCGGCCTGGATGCTATGTTCGACGCCCTCCAACTCATTACTGGAAACAGTCTTGCTGCGCCCATTAGTCATTTTCCAGTCCACAGGTGTATGTTTCCTTTCAAGATGTGTCTTTTCACGCCCCTCCTTGCTCAGAAGCGTGCAAATTATGACAGGTGTCTGAACATGGGAGAGAACACACATGCATTCCCTTGACGATTGGTGACAAGTGGAGCCAGAGCCGACTCCCGTATAGGGATTCTACGGAAGCTTGAAAGACTGCCGGCCATCAAGATGAGGACAAAGGTGGGGAAACGAAGGGCAAAGGAAAAGGGAGGAAAGGCTCCCAGGCCATTTCTCTGAATTTGGACGCTACAACGATGTTTTTTTTCGGAGAGATGCTGCATTAGTTCAGTAGCTTAGCAATTTAATGGGATCGCTGCAAGTCTCTGCCTGGTTTCTCGAGTGGTTTGCTGTTTGGCCCTGGAGTATAAAATGCCAGCCGGCGTGTTCTAGAGCTTGTCGCCTTCTAAACCTATGCTGGATCGTTTAAGTCAACTTGTCTCTCACCTAGCTCAGGTTTACCCGTTAGCCAGGCACAACGGGTCGTGGAGCGACGTGCGAGAGCAAGGCAAAATCACATACCGTGCTGATTGAGCTGCTGCGGTGCCTAGTCGGTACTGTTGCGTAGGTGTTACAAGAGCACATCATTGCTGTTAGGATACATTGCTGTTTCCCCTCGATTCTCCAATTAATCGATCTCTTGAACCAAGGAAGCGGCATCCCAGGCAAAGAATATGTTTTCTTACAGATTCTTCCGTGGTCCGCTCCTTTGACAAATCCATGGAAAGCTGTCCAGAGTACTGACTGAGGTTCCTTCAGCCCACCTCGCTTCAAGTGCCCAGCATGTCTGCGCAGGGCTCTTAGGCAGCCGAGATCTCCAGTCTGAAATCAATCGCGTGCGTTACAGCAAAATCTAGTGGCCTTCTTTGAATAAATCAGACATGGGGTGTGTTTGAGTTTCCACTTAGCAGCGGGCCTCGCCGTTTTTCTGAGTTTTTCTGAGTTTTTCTGATGTTTCAGACTCCGCAGTTTGGCCGAATTGTTCCGCCCAGTTTTGCCGAGTTTTCCTACCTAGTGTTGCCGAGTTGCTCCGCCCAGTTTTCCGAGTTTTTGCAAAGTCTCGCCAAATTTGTTTGCCCAGTTTTGTCGAGTTTTCGGAGCAATTTTTTCGGGTTTTGTCCTCCACGTTTGCCCCTGCCTGTCTTTCCGAGTTTTGCCCGCTCTTCTTCGCAGCGTTTCTGAGTTCTTCCCGTTTCTCCAAGTTGTTTCCAGCTATATTTTCTGATTCCGGCATTCGGAGGTTTAGCTCTCCGCCCAGGTTTTTCCGCCAGAGTCTCTCCCCATAGTTTTTGCGTCAGTTCCTCCGCGCCCTCCGGCCAGTTTGACCGAACAGATGTTTCCCGCACTCTACTGCCCTGCCTAGTTGGCTGCCTAGTTGGTCGGTGTAACTGCGTTTGGGCTGATAACATCGCAGGATTTCTCTCTCCCGCAGAGTTTGTCGATGTTTTCCAGCATGATAGGGAACTTACCATCTTACTTCATGTCCCATTGGTGGATCAATGGAACACGAAGCCCAAGTACAAACTTCGGGACCCCAAAGAAAAACCACGCCCAAGACATTGCGCACAGCGCGGACAACAAATTTTTGTTGTTGCTGTTAGACAAGGGGCTGCGCAATTTGTTTGTTCGATTGTTTCCATGACTTTTGGCTGACATCTGGGTGGGGGACTTCAGGATGGGGGGACCTTTGAGGATGCAGATGCAGCCAGATCTCACGCCGTCTGACGGAAATCTACGTGGAATGGCAATGCCACAAATCCCGGCTTTGGCGCCTATGTACCAGCCCTACCAGCCCTACCAGCCCTCGTGGCCTATGCCTTAGTTCAAGATTCCTGCGGCCCCGCTTTCAGATGTCCAAGGCAACAGCTCCCCTCGTGCATGATTAAAATTCCAACATGGTCGATTTGTGGTTTGGGGCTCACTGTATGAGTTTTGCCGAAACTGGATTCATTTTCCCAACATTGTTCCGCGCAAGACCAACCCTGACCCCGACCAAGGGCGGGGGAGGGGAGGAGAACTGATGGGCAACCAGGACCCCTGACATTTTATTTTTATATGAGTATTGCGCGAATCGATATTTTGACCATTGTCTCAAAAAAGGGGAAGTAAGAGCTTTTCCTTTCGGTTTTCAAAATAGCTCTCAAAATATCCTCTGGCTGGCCAGTGGAAGCGGACGTGCCTTGCCTCAGGCTTTACCCGAGCTGGCAAATGCAACCACAGCTCCTTGGCCAAAATAAAATGGTCGGCAAGGCCCAGGATTTCCAACGTTTCGTCTCATGTGTGTCACGGTCAAAACATTTTTTTGTTTGAGGTTCACACTCATCAAGGGAATTTAGACAACCATTGTCACAGCTCGCATGGGTTTGTCTCTGAGGGACATGTGAAGTTGCTTGTTGTTGGCTTCCATGTCAAAAGCAAAGAAGGGCATTGGTACCTTCCACCGGGACTACCGGTGACTACCGAATTCTGCCTAGCATCATTCAAGTGAAGCGTTTCACTTCATGTATAGCCTTCTGAGGAACTTCTACCGGCAGGATCTCGCCATAGCCTCACTCGGGACGAAGAGACAGTGAGTTTCCATGAGCTGTCGGACATCATGTCCATCAAGCAGTTTGAAAGGGTTTCCTGTTCAATGCGCGTAGCCATGTTTTCACTCGGCGAGGGCGTGGCTTGCCTTTGGGAGCCCATGGGAGAGAGCTTTGAGCTTGGCAAGCCGTAGGTGTTGCAGGAGCAGCTTTCGAGCATGAACAAGGAGCTGCAGAGCCTGAAGCAACAGGACTGCAAGTCCGAGGGTCTGTTTTGTTTGACCCGAGGGTAAGCGCTGGAGTGAGAGGCCGAAGCCACATGCTCCGGCTTTCGTGAGCAGCACAGCTTGCTTGCCTGATTTAATGGTGTAAATGTTGAAACACGACTACCCACGCAGCTTATCGCGGTAGGATGCGGTCCCTGCGCCCTCTGGCTTTCAGGAGCAGAAGGAAGCCAAGGATCTCGAGCTGAAGGCCATTCAACCAAAGAGAAGGTCCCTCGTATGGATAACTAGTGTTTTAAGATAGTCGAAGCCTTTTTTGCAAAAGTGGTCTCCGTTTGGATCCTGAAACGGCGGGTTATGTTGCGCTTTCAAGCCTGAGAAAGAGTTGGCCGGTTGATTGGAAGTACGGTTGATCTGTGTGTTAAGAAAACCCCATGTTTTGACCAGGACCTGGAATATGTCTTAAACATTTGATGGGAAAATAAGAAATGGTGGTCTTAATCCACAGTCTTGACCGGATTTCTATTTTTGGTTATTGAAAGAAGGTGAGCCCTTGTTAGTCTTGCTTTTGGTGCGTTGTGTTGTTGGGCTCGTTTTGACCCTGGTTGGGGGCTTGGGTGTGGTCGGGTTGGCTTGTGACCACCTTTCCTTTGCTCAGGGGCCTGAGAATTGGGTGTTCGCGCGTTCGGGGAGCAGCGCCACTCTCCACTGTCTGAGCCAGAGGTGTGGCAAGTTGTCAAAAAATGTTTGAGGAAAGTTTGTAGGTAGCCAACCTTTATTTTCTTTGTGCTGCGTCTTTAGACGTAGAAGTCTTCGCAGGACTCGATCCCAACTCCCTCCTATGGCGACACAGAGCTAGAGTGTCATACTATGAGACAAGCCTGCACAGGAATACTTCTTCAGATTGCGAAGTTTTCTGGATGGCCGTATGTGCTACATCGCAAGGCGCAGCGCACGGTAAACCAACATTGGTGACCTACAAATCTGGCTCAGAGTTTGGAAATTGGACACTGTTGCCCCAAAAGCGTGAACACCCAATTCTCAGGCCTCTGAGCGAAGGAAAAAGCGACCGCATTGCGGCTCGGACAGAACTAAGAAAGCTGGTCAGTTTCAGTGTTTTTTGATTTTGGGAGCATTCGAGTGTCTCAAAGAATTGATTTCTGGACATTTGAGGGTCTACTTTTTTGCTTCACAAAACTTCTTAACACATTGACGGACCGTAGGAGATCAGTAGGGGACAGCCTTGACCATACACAGCGTAATATGGTGCAGATATCCGCCCTGTGGACGCGTCTGACATCGTCAGGTTGTGGATGGCCAGAGCAGCGCATAAGCAACGACTCGCTTTTGCTCGCAGGCCACAGAAGTAGGGGTGGCAGAAAAGCACTTGCGTGAGGCGGGCGGCGGAAGGCAGTCGTTTGTCCAACGAACGCCTGAGCGAACCTGACGTATCGCAAGCTAGGGCTTAAAACTTTGCGAGGTGCATTTTTTGCAGAGCGAGGGGGGAGGATGCTCACTTTAAGGGTTGGCATGTGGTCAATTTTCTCAGGGCTTACGTCGACCAGCGCCTGCGCCTTCTGGCCCCTGGATCCGCAAGGCAGAGCAAAAGATGAAGGAGTGGCGCGGAGTGGAGCACGATGCGCCATGTTGTTTGCTTTGCAAATTTGCATGGAACCCAAAATGGGATTCCCCGCGGGAAGATTCCACTGAATTTGTCGGGTTTGTTGTTGATCGGTTTCGATAGCAATGATAATCCAAGGCAGTGTAATCCCCCAGGCTCACCAGCTTTTGCGGCCACCTCCCTTTCCATCTCTTTCTTGTTTTGTCTCTCTGTCCCCCTTGGACACCGAAGTGCAATATGCAACGTTGTGTGGACTGCCAAGCCCAGACATGCATCCAGCTCATTGTGATAACTAGCAACGCCAAAGCGAGCGAAGCTTGAGCGGCTACTCTATCTGGCTCAAGGAGGATAATGGGGCCTGAAAGAGCGTGTTGAGCCACAATCAAAATGAGGGTAATGGGAGGATAGCAAGGCAGAGCCCCAACTAAATAATGTGTTCGACATTCCTTTTTGACGCAGCAAGCAAAATAGGTAGGAGTCACCATCAACCAGTTCATTCGGTTGTTGGCGGCACCTCTGTTCTTTGCTCGGCAGCTGCAAAGGACGCAGATGTTGCTGCTAAGCAGCTGCAGGATCGAGAGCAGAATGTGGAGGACCAGGCAAAGCGTGCGTGAAGCTCTCAGCACCCGTCGGGTGACTGTTTGCGCCGTCGCCTGGTCATTGGATTCATTATGGTACTGCATGCAAAGTTCAGTAGCTGGAAGAACTGGGGAACTCACATTTCCCACGTCGATTACTGGCTCCTGTGTGTCCGGCCAGCGGGTGGATGCACGGTTCTTCTGTGCATGAATTCGACAGTCTGGACATAAAGGGCTGTCGGTGTACTGCGGAAGTACAAGTAGTCTAGGTGCATAGAAGTAATGTATGTGCTAGGAAATTGGGGCTCCCAACAAAACACTCCCAGCAACAGCGCCTCTACGGGCAGGCAATTTCGGCAGTGCGAACGGCCAAGACACAGGTTGCCCAGGCCTGGACGCCCGAGCCTAGCTCTTGTCAGACTCCTCTAAGACACATCAACGTAGTAAACCATTGATTTTTGTGATGACCATGGCTCAGACTTCCCCAATGACACATGATGGAACTCATGGCTGTCTTGAGCATGCTCCCACTTTGGGCGCCAGGCCCAGAAGGAGGTGAAGGACATGCAGGACGAGCTGCGGCAGGCCTTCTCAGAATTAAAGAAGCCATGGGCCAATCAGCCTCTTCCAACCGCAAAGGTTCCAAGGAGGTAGCCATGTAGGTTTCTATTTGGGTGTGTGCATGTGTGTGCTGTTGGAGTTGCAAAAGAACTAACAACCAAAGGAAACCAACCATTGGAGGCATCCAGTTCTCACGTTTATGGCATACCAATTTCTCGAGCCAACCTTGGGTAAACGTAGCAAACCCTTAGTGTCCAAATGGGATTAGTAAATGCACGCGCTATAAAGACAACTGGGGGGCCCAACAGGATTAGTAAATGCACCTGGAATAAAGACAAGCACCCGCCACCCGCGCCAAAAAAAACAGTCCCCCCCCAAAAAAATAAAAGGAGAGGACGAAACAGAGATAAAAGAGAGGAGAGATAGCCAAGCCAACACCTGGTCCTTGGATCTTTGGTACCTTGTTCCTCAAATCCAGAATTGTCAGCTTTACCAATCCCGTGTTTTCTTACATGTCTCTTGTTTAAAACCTGCAAACAATCAAACCCACAAAGGGGGTAGTACTTCAGCCCCCAACTTGACATTATTTCAGGGGCCCCCGAAATAAAGTCTTGTTGCCTGGCCCCCAAAAAAAGCAAAAGGAAGCTCCAGCAATACTAAATCAAATGGAAACTCAAGTCTACCAATACTAAACAAATGGAAACTCAGTTCCAAATCTCAAAAGGAAGCTCCAGCAATACTAAATCAAATGGAAACTCAAGTCTACCAATACTAAATCAAATGGCAACTCAGTTCCAAATCTGAAAAGCTCCAGCAATACTAAATCAAATGGAAACTCAGCTGCAAATTTCAAAAGGAAGCTCCAGCAATACTAAATCAAATGGACAGTCAAGTCTACCAATACTAAATCTAGTGGAAACTCACCTCAAGATACTATTCCAGATACAAAATGGAGGTATTTGGGGGTCTCAGGGTGGGTATCCATCGTTGGGGGGGGGGGACTCCCGTTTACTAATCCACATTGGACATTAAGTCGCACCCTTTCTCGCGCAACAAATGAACATCAGGCAACTCTAGCGCCAGAGCACACAACAGTTTTTCCGTTTAAGCAGCCACTACACAGCATACCAAGAGCCTGTCTCTGAAAAAGCATAACGCTAAGGCTATGTTTTTACGCAGGACGAGCCAATTCTACTGCTAAAGCGTACAACAATATGTTCCGGCGACAAAGCAGCAGCTAACCAGAATTCCAAGAGCCTGTCCGAGAAACCAACATGACGCTACAGTTTCACGGAACAAGCAGGGCGAATGAGCGTCAGGCGCTTCTACAGCCAAGTTATGCGGGCAAGAGGCCCCAAATAGTAGCGGATAGCAAGGAAAGACAAACATCTTTGGCTAGAAGTTGCGACGCCGGGTTTAATTTGGTGACGGGGCTGCAAAACTCTTTAAGTTAAGAATTCCATTTTTTTGCGTAAACGGGAGAGATTACGCAAATATTTGTTTACAAGGCGCTGAGTAATTACATTTCTAGTTTGCTCCCCATAACCAAATTTGGCTGTTGTGGCAAGAATGCAAGGCCCCCATCCCCCCACACTTACGCACGCCGAAACAAGGCCCGTACATGACAACACGTGGCCGCCCAAGATTTTGTTTTACCAAGTTTTTGCCTTGCCCCGTACCATTGACGATTGTGAATTTGATATTGCAAAGACTTCATCTTAGATTTCCAGAACTTAATTTATAATTGCCAGTCCTAAGTTTAGTATTGCCAAGACCAAATCATCGATGTCCAGTACCTGACCTAGTATGGGGAATTTAACATGTAGCGCAGCCAAGACATAAATCGCAGGTTCCTACTTGTTATATTTGACCCTGGTCAACCTGTATGTGATTGTCATGTGTTTTTTGCGGTTGTCCGTGAATGTTCCATGGGTCTTCCGTGATTCCCTATGAGTGTATTTGTCGTTTATACGCGTTGCACTTGCATTTTCTTCGCACTTCTCATAGCACCAATTCGTGCACTGTCGATTATGAACTCTCTATGTATGTCTGACGCACGTTCCCATCAATTCAATGCATTATCTGTTCGCCTTTTAAAATGTGTAGAACAAGTACACAACAAGTGCAAAGAAAATGCGTAGGAATAAATTCATAGATAATTCATGAGCACGTCCTAAGAACATCAACAACATATCTTCAGAAACTTGGTTTTGGCCAGCCGCAAGGCAGCACGAAGACTTGACTTTGCACTTCTTTGCATTTGTTCTATTCCTTTCTTTCGCTGTTGCCTTTGGTTAATGTTTCGCACTTGGACCAGGGCCAAGCCCTGCAACTCTCCTGTTTCCCCAGCATTGCCCTGAGATTGTGCAATTACGTGGCTTTTCTCTTGTTCTGCTTGACTTCCTTTGCATCTTTGCAGGTGCCACCTGGTAAAAATTCCGTTGTTGTTTTCAGACAGCATTGCAACACCTTGGTGTTTCCATTTTCTCCAGGGAAATTTGGTATCTTCATTGATCTGCCCTGAGTTTGGTGGCATGGTCCGGTTGGTTCCTTGAACAGGGTGGATGGCGCTAGAACAGCTAGAGCTCTGGCAAATGGTATGAGTTTATGTGCGTGCAGGCATCCCAGCTACAAAATGAACTTGACTAAACTTGGCCACTTTGACCCCTTCGGAGAGAAAGGTGTCAGCATGATGTTTATTGTCAACATTTTCACCAATAGAAAGACGCAGTCACCGCTTTACCTGACAAATATGTGTGCTGTAGTCCAGATATATTTCTTAACTTTGAGTTTCCAAAGTATGTCCACCTACAACGAGGTTGTAATCATCAATTTGTTTGTCAACCAGTTGGCCTGCAACATCTTGCGGCCACAGGACATTGTAGTCCAAAAACATTCCTTGACTGAAGTTCTCCATCTGTGTTGACCCATAAAACATGAGTCTTCGGTTTTTACGTTTTTGCTGTCGCCGGTTTGGATGACGGGGGGTGAGGGGTTCTTGCGTCTGCGATGCCGCTTTTTGTGCTACGTCGCCTGCCTGCCTGCCTTTCTTTTTTTCCGTCCTTGTTTGCCTGTTGCTTGTTTTCCTGGCTGCTTGTTTGCGTGCCTGCTTTTTTGCGTGTGTTTGGTTTTTACATAGCCCCGGGTGGCTATAACCCCACGGAAACAACCGCGCAGCCAATATTTTTGAGTTTTTTGCTTTGGGGGATTCCGAGCTGGTTTTCTTTGTTTTTGTCAGCTCCGAACAGTGCTCCAGGTGGCGCCCGTGCCAACTATGAGGATGTTTCCGATCTTTCACCTGGCTGCACCATCATCATCATCATCAGCATCATCATCATGGCCCTCATCGTCGTGACACGGATGGTGACAATTACCATAGACGGCGCTCTGCATCACCAAGCGTGCCTACTGGCACACTTGAAATGTCAATGTACAAAAGGAAGAAGAAGACCTGATAATAACTATGGTGATGACAATGACGATCACCATGATGGCGAAGACTATATAAGCAAAGAAAGAGGTGATGACTCTGAACTTGTGCTGTAGACATATACTATCATCGCACCCGCTGATGCAGGGGATGCCACGATGGAAGTTATCATGGTCACCGTCATGATGCTTGTCGTTGATGACCATGACCATAATGATCATGATAATGGCGACTCTGATGAGAACTATCATCGTGGCACCCCCTGCCCACAAGGGTGTCTAACGGCAATTATCATACGCCGCTGGGGATGCAGGGCATGCTACAGTGATATCGCACATCACTTGTGATGCGCCATAAGGATGATACAATGATGCCTCTGACGCTAACCATCATCGTAGAACCCGCTGCGTCCTACCGGCACGCGTTTAGAAAAGAAAGAGATGATGGCAAAAGAACTTTCACCTTGCTACATAATCATCACCCCCATCATCCTCATCCTCACGGTCATCAGCTTCGTGATGCAGACCACTTGCAGGTCTGCCACCGCATTTCCTCATCCACTGGTTATAGGACCAGGAATCTGTAGAATTCAGCTTGTCACGTGGGAGAGGGCTACTAGCCAGCCGTGGCCAATGGAAAAGTTCAATCCCTGAGGACAGCAGCCCGGCAGCCCGTTGACAAGGACGTCCCACCAACCCCTTGCGAGCTACAGTAAGATGCTGTTTCCAGCAAGGCCACCCTGGCCAGTGGACAAGTTCAACAATCCCCAAGGATAGCAGCTCGGGCGCCTATGGCAAGTGCATTTCATTCACAGGGAAGTAAGGGAAGGGCCGCGTGACTTCATACCACCAACCCCTTGCGAGCTACAGTCATGCAAAGTGGGAATCCAAGATGCTGCTTCCAGCAAACAGGGGTGTGACACGGCGCTCCGCTGCGTTTCATAGTTGCTTCCAAGGAGGGTGCAAATTGGACAACCTTTCTCACCTGCTATATCAATTTTGCGCACGACTAGTTTGCGTGGGGAGCTGGAGGGCGTTCACCGCCCCACTACCCGCTTGGAGGTGGCCTGCCTCAGCCCTCACATGTCCGGAATATCTGTTGCACGTATGAAGTTGCTAGCCTACGGTAGGCTCACACAAACAGATGCTATGGGGGTCAGAGAACTACTTATCCTACTTGCACCCTCCACAGGTCGTCAAAACAATGTCTGATAAGCAGGTCTTATATTTGCCAGCCGCAAAAACCTTAACAAGCAATGGAGCAGAGAAATGCTTGTGCTACACGAAAGCCTACGTGATGAAACACGCATATTTCACTGCATTTCTGGTGTGTGCTAAACTCTCCATGTTAATCAGTAGCGAGCTGGCAGCCTGATGACACTTCGGCCTTGCTAGTTGCAGAGAATATTGTAGCTAACACTGTTTTTAGCAGCAACTTCCAAGCTTGCGTCGCCAGGAGCACCAGAAGCTTGTCATACGTACCAGTTGTTAAGATGCACACCTTAGTTTGTAAGTATCGTGACCTACCGGGAGCTAAACCTACAGGTGACCCAAATTCTGGACAACCTGCTGGGCCCCAGTGATCGTGGGCTGAG